AACCTTTTAAAATTCTAATTATGTTGTCTCCTTTTTTTTTTCTACAAGCCCGCCTGCAATGGTCCCTGCACATAGTAGATGCACAATAAATATCTGAATAAAGCCTATATAATAAAAGGCTAATATGCAAATTATACCCTTGGGAGTTCGACTAACCAGGAGTTTGACCGCTTGCTTTGACGTGTGCTGACCACCAGGGGGCGGTGCGGAACGAAGGAAGGCCCCGGCCAGCAGCCAAAAGGAAGGCTCTGGCTGGCAGCTGGAAGGCCCTGATCGGCCCTGATTGCCAGCCAGGCCTAGGGACCCTACCTATGCACGAATTTTGTGCACCAGGCCTCTAGTATACAAATAAAACCAAATTCTGTATTTAAGTATAAATGTCAGTCCCTGTATAATGTCACCTACTTCACATGAATAGTCTATTTACGTATTATTATAATTGTACACAGTAGGTATCTAAAAGAAATACATGGAAAGAAATGTATTAAAAAAATTACTATTTTCTAGGGCAGTGATGGCGAACCTATGACACGCGTGCCAAAGGTGACACGCGAACTCATTTTTTTGGTTGATTTTTCTTTGTTAAATGGCATTTAAATATATAAAATAAATATCAAAAATATAAGTCTTTGTTTTACTATGGTTGAAAATATCAAAAAATTTCTATATGTGACATGGCACCAGAGTTAAGTTAGGGTTTTTCAAAATGCTGACACACCGAGCTCAAAAGGTTCGCCATCACTGTTCTAGGGTGAATAAAAAAAAAATCTAACTAGTACAAATATTAACCAAGCTAAAAAGTTAAAGTGCATCATCCATCACAATCTGTACTAAGATCTTTATAATATTAAGTACTGACTGCCTTGTGTTGATATGCTGACTTACAATAAGTCAACACCATTTACACATTTCCTTTTCTGTTTTAAAATACTACTACATATTTAAAAGGGAAAACAGTAAAGATAAATTTTATGAAGCCCATATTTCAAATATCTGTTTTTTGATATACTATAAGCAACAGAGAAAATACCCTAATTATTTCTACATTTAATAATTAGATACTCCAGGACTTAAGTTTATGGGACCAAATAAAAATATCAACATCATGATGTGGCTGCTGTTTGCTATATGTTCTCTGCCAATAAAACATATCAATAAGTCAGTTTATAGCTTAAGCCATATATTTTGTACAAGAACATGCACTTGTATTTTTAAGTTAATCAGCAGATAGAAAGCCTACCTAATTTCTACTTTACTATGAATATAACAATTCAACTCCTTGGTATAAACCAATTAAGTGACTATATGGAAAGAATAAACTATTCCTAATATTCTGAAATACATTTTAAAGTATCTCTACATTGCCCTAGCTCAGTGGTCGGCAAACTCATTAGTCAACAGAGCCAAATATCAACAGTACAACGATTGAAATTTCTTTTGAGAGCCAAATTTTTTAAACTTAAACTATATAGGTAAGTACATTGTTATTAACCTACCTATATAGTTTAAGTACCGTTGATATTTGGCGCCTCCCCCGAGCTGCGTATCCTGTGGCCCGCCTGCGCCACGTCTCCCATCGCCCGACCGACCGACACCCCCCACTTCTTCTAACGCCACTTCTTCAAAATAGACTCACCCAGGCCGAAAACCGACTTCTGTGCATGGGCCATGAAGTTTCAATCGCACCGTACATGCGTGCCCACATGTGGTATTTTGTGGAAGAGCCACACTCAAGGGGCCAAAGAGCCGCATGTGGCTCGCGAGCCGCGGGTTTGCCGACCACTGCCCTAGCTGGTTTGGCTCAGTGGATGGAGCGTTGGCTTGCGGACTGAAGGGTCCCGGGTTCGATTCCGGTCAAAGGCATATGCCTGGGTTGTGGGCTCAATCCCCAGTAGGGGGCATGCAGCAGGCAGCCGATAAATGATTCTCTCTCATCATTGATGTTTCTCTCTCCCTCTCTCCCTCTCCCTTCCTCTCTGAAATCAATAAAAATATATATAAAATCAATAAATAAAGTATCTCTACATTGAACTATTCTATGTTGAACTAATTTGAACGATACTTCCTTCATTTAAATCACACATAAATTAAAATATCCTGTTTTCATATGCAGAACACAAAAATCTTTTAGACATTCTACCAAAAAAGAAGTTATATGAGCCTTTTGTATATAAGAAAAACAAGATAATGGAGCTATGAAATGGCTTAGACAGATCACAGAAACTCATACCTCAAGGTACAAATGGTAAGAATGTGGTGGAGGTGTAATTTGTTTCTTAAATTTTTAAAACTGCATTTTTCTTAAAACATACCCTAGGCTGAAGGAAAAAAATAAAAACATGTAAAACAAAATACAAAAGAAAGTAAAATGACAAAAAATAACAATAAAAAATAATCAAAACAAAAAAAAAACTGGCAGGCATAAAACTAATATGCAAAAACATATTTTAAACCAAACCCTCAGGGTTATAAACTAAGACTGCAAAACTAAAGTAGAAATTTCTATAGAAAACTGGCCTCTCCTGAGCTTTAAAAACACATGCACCTGGTCCTCAAATAACGTCGCTTTGTTCTAACATTGATGAGATGCACAGGAACTTAACTCTTTATAACAATTAGTCTGTAGTAACACTGGTTCCATTCTGTGGCTTGAAGTCACAGAACCTATTGATGATGTTAAGTCAGGACTTACTGTGCACACCAAACTGTCTCTAGTAATTTTTGTTGTTGTTTGGCAGTTAGGTAAGAGATGCAGGCTTTTCAGTAACTAGAAAGTACAAAGACCAAGAATATGAACACAACTGCTCCAATGTGACGATAGCTGCTCATTTCGTGTAGGGGCTTTTATGCACAATCTGCATCATAGTAGGCAGAAGTGGTTTTAGAAGAAAAGAGAAAAACACTTGCTAAGACTTTCAACTTCTAGTTCTGCACAACAGTTTCTTTATAGAGTCCTTATTTGAAGGCAAAATGACTTCAGCTTTAAATTTAAAAATCTGTCATAGATTTATTACCCTAAAACTTTCATTTCTAGGACATAAATTTATTGAAATAAACAATTACGTACTATATTGTGCTCTCCAGGCTACAGTTTTGATGGAACTAAAACCCACTCCTCTGTGCGCATGTACGGGACTTCTTTATTTGTAAAGGGGCTTCCCTCAGCAGTTAGGTAAGTCCTGAAAGCCAACCAGAAGGGTCCTTCCCTGTGGCTTCTAGGACTAATATGGCCAAGCTCCAAAGTCCTTTGCTAAAAATAGATGAAGGGAGCAGCCCAATTTTGGAATAAGCCAAGATCTATGCTATGTTCACAGATGTGTATGTATCATATTATAGTGAGGGAGACTTTTCTATAACTTATTAGTCAAAAGAGAAGCAGATGCTAAAAGTTGTTCTGTTCACTGTAGCACTAAATTTTATAACACAATTTATATGATTATAGAAACTGATCACACAAAAACGTTTGCAAGCAAATGTTAGACATATACCATAAAGATTGGAAAAACAAATATAAAAATTATCCAATCCTGTAAAAAATATACCTCAGATCACAAAATTTGGGAAACAGGACACTAACCATTATTAAATCCAATCCTTTCATTTTAGAGATGACTAAAAACCTCCAGAAATTTTAAGAGATTTAAGAGAAACTTGAGTCTCAAAATGAGAAAAAGGTAGTTTTAAGACTGAGATGGGGAAAGTAAAGGAAAAAAATAAAAGAAGAACATTCTAAGAAACAAAGTACTGTAATGTCTGGCTTACGACAAAACAGGAAGAAAAACAGAAAATTGTCAATACAGTTAAAATGAAGAAACAATCCTATATAATAAAAGGCTAATATGCAAATTGTCCCCTCAACCGGGAGTTCCTGGCCTGGCAGGACCCCAACTGCACGAATTCGTGCACTGGGCCTCTAGCGTATAGCAGGCAAGAAGAAAGACATAGGCACACTGAGTTCAATGAAAGAAAAGGTACTCTGAAATTATTATAATGAACTCTTTAGCAGAAAACGCTTTAGTAACAAGTTACTAAAATTCTTGGCAATAAACTTATAAATCTGGGGCCAATAATGTCCCCAGAAACTCTGTCCTCTGTCACAGCAACTGTCCTGTAAGTGAAGCCCATGCAGAAAGCAGGCAGAGCTGATCCGCCCAGAACATGGCATTTTCGGCCTCAGGAGCGCGCGTCTCCATCCTCAGGGAACAGAGAACACCAGGATGACAGGCCGCCCTCACGATCTGTCCATTAACAAGGCCCGTGGAGCCCAATCGCTGGCAGCTACGTGTGCCTGCTACCTGTTAGCCGGTTCCGGAGAGAGCCCCGAAGCTGCGCTCCAGCCGGGCGCTGGGAACGCCTTTGTTGTTCCCAAAGGACGGAAGCTACCAGAGTGCAGTCGAACCCAGCGCCTCAAGGCAAAGCTGCCCCAGGCCCGGTACATCTGCCCAGGCTGGGGGTTTACAGCACAGCCCTCGGCGAGCTAAGAAAAGGCGGGAGAACCTCCGGCAACGCACAAATGTCACCTCCTAGTTCCGGGAGGGGTCACAAGTGAGGAAAGTTGGAGGACAAGTCCCTAGCACCCTGTTTCGCAGTGGAGGAGGACGCCCACCATGAGGTCGCGGGCCGTCCCGCTGGGTGAAAGCACAGCGAGATCGCGGAGTCAGGGGTCTGGGGAGAGAGGTGCTCAACTGAGACTATGGGGGGGAAACGAGAGGCAGTGGCGGAAGGAAGCGCTGAAGCAAAAGGCAAGAAGCCGGTGCTGGTAAGGGGCGGGTGAGGCTGAGGAAAAACAGCGAAGCGAATGTTGCAGAAAGGCGAAGCTGAGGTGAAAGAGGCGAGGCCAGCGAGAGGCAAAGGGCTGAGGTGAGGGAAGCACAGCAGGGACAAGGGACAGGCAAAGAGAACCCCCGCCCACAGGGACCAGAACTCTCGACCCGTCCGTCCCCCGCTACAGGCAGTCCTCGTCCGGCCGCTCTCAGACCCTGTCGACAGCGCAGACTCACCCAAAGGCTGCAGGGGCTCCGCTGCAGGACATGGGGACCGGTCCAGACCCACAGTAGAACCAAGCGAGTGGAGGAAACCGCGGCGTTAGCGTGACCCGGAAGCGCATCCCTAGAAAACGGAAGTCACCGTCCAGGGTCACCTCACAATCCACACCTCGTTCCACCAGAAGCCTTTGGGCGCATGTGTCAGGCCTCACGGGGCGGGGCTGAGAAGCGGCTAGGCCCCGCCCACTCTCCCACCCACCC